CGTTTGCCTTGCATGCAGCCGACCGAGTTCAATTCCCGGCATCCCAAATGGTCCCCTGAGCACTGCCAGTAGTAATTCCTGAGTGCAGAGTCAGGAGTAACCCCTGAGCACGAATGGGTATTACCCCCCCCCCCAAAAAAAAATCCATGGTACCCTGTATGGTCCCCGGAACTCGCCAGTAATGATCAAGTGACATGTTATTAGCACTGGAGGGGGTCATGTGACGTGAAATAAGTCAGAAGGAGAAAGAAAACAAATTGTATGATCTCATGTATGAGCTGTATAGAGAAGGAAGCCAGGAACAGACAAACCCAAATGAAAACAAGCCAGTGGATGACTCAGAGCTGGGGTTGTGGGGTAGGGATGGGGCAGGTCTATGGACAGCAGGGGACATGCTGATCCTTGGATGGTGGTTCTCGTGGGTTAACATGTACTTTGTAGGGCTGGAAAAACTGCACCATTACAACATGCACAGTGGAGAGCTATAGTGATAGTACAGTGGGTAGGGCTCTTGCCTTGCATGTGGCCGACCTGGGTTTGATTCCCAGCATCCTGTATGGTTCCCTGAACACAGCCAGGAATAACCCTTGAGCAATGCTAGGCGTTGCCCCCAAAGTAAAAACAAACAAAAAAACCCACCAAAACCAAAAAACACCCCCTCCCCCCATAAAACCCCCATACACAAATATGTAAACTACTGTTACTGCAATTGAAAAAAAGATTTTGTTTCAAATTGTCGTAAGTTTTTCTGAGATAACACTTCAGAATATTTTTCTTTGTGTTTAACTACTTGGAGTTTGTAGGGCCTTTGGAAGATTTGAGCTTAAATCTCTTATCAACTTTATTTGACACTATCAAAGGCATTAGTGAGATAGAGAGTGAAGTTTGAATAGTTCTGCAATTTAGATAATACTTTGTATCATGATAAAAAAAATGGCTTGGTGCGAGCTTCAGGCAACCACAAACTAATGTCCAAACTCCCAAAGCAGTGCAGAGAAGCCATAAAGGAAGAACTCAAAGAGAGAAGAGCAGCAGTGCTGGCAGATGTGGCAGAAGCTGGGAAAAGTATTTGCAAAGCCTGCCTGTCCTTTGCCAACTACAAGACCAAGATGACTGCCCTCCGATGTCCTGATGGATCTATCACATCTTCCAGAAGGGCAATGGAGAAGATTGTCCATGACTTCTACTTGGATATCTCCGATAGCCATGTCCACCTGCCCACATACCAAATTCCGCAGGATAGATACGTTGTTCCCAACATTCTCCCTTCCAAAATCTGACATGTCATTTCGTCGGTAAAGAAGCAAACAGCACCCACCCCAGACAAGGTCAGACCTGAACACCTGAAGAATCTGCCGTCATTACTCGTCAATACACTGGCTCGGCTCTTCACACACTACCTGTCTGAATGCAAGCTTCTGTCCCAACGGAAAACCAGGAGGACCGTTCTACTGTACAAGAAGGGAGGCGTCCATGACATTGGCAACTATCGTCTGATCTGCCTGTTGTCCATTATCTACACGCTGTTCACTTGAGTCATCCTGAATAGGATTGGCAGAGCAGCAGATGAAGACAACAATGTGAGCAAGTCAGGTTCCGAAAAGGATTCAGCATGATTGACCATATTCACAGTGACCAAACTCATTGAGGTTTCTCGGGAGTTCAAGATGCCGTTCTGTCTAACGTTCATTGATCTAAAAAAGGCCTTTGATTCTGTTGAGACTGAAGCGGTCATCAAAGCCCTAGCCAAACAGGGCGTTCAAACTCAGTATATCAGGATCCTCCGTGAGCTGTATTACGGATTCACGACCAGGATCACACCATCTACAAGGAAGTGATCATTGACGTAAAGAGAGGGATTCGGCAGGGTGATACCATTTCACCAAAACTCTTCAGTGCCACCCTCAAGAAAGTCTTGCGATGACTGGAATGGGAAGAAATGGGAGTGAAGATAGATGGTCGGCAACTACACCACCTCTGCTTCGCTGATGACATTGTTTTAATAACACCAAACGTTAGCCAAGCGGCACAAATGCTGGCTGACTTCAACCGTGAGTGTGGAAAGATGGACTGCAGCTGAATCTCACGAAGACAATGTTTATGAAAAACGGACTAGTTCCTGATGTTCCATTTGCTCTCAATGGAATGAACATCTCCAAATGCAGCAGTTATGTGTACCTAGGTCGTGAACTCAACATGATGAACGACCTGCACCTGAGCTATGCAGGAAGAATTGAGCAGCGTGGAACGCCTTCAAGAGCGTTGAGGAAGTTATTAAGAGGATGCAGAACCTCCAGCTCTGGGCACATCTATTCGACTCCACTGTTCTCCCTGCACTAACATACGCCTCAGAGACCTGGTTCCTACGAAAACAGGATGAGAACGCTATTTGGGTCTCACAAGAAGGAATTGAAAGAGCTATGCTTGGAGTATCATGCTTCACTCAAGTGAGAGCAGGAATCCAGAATTCCGACCTCTGTCAGTGATCGAGAATTAGGGATGCTGTCTCATTGGCCAAGGCGTCGAAAATCAGATGGGCCAGACACGTAATGCGGTTTGAAGATGACTGCTGGACTAGAGCTGTTACCGACTGGATTCCACGTGACATTGAAAGAATACGTGGCCACTCATCTACAAGATCTTCATCAAGACTTCTTCGTCAAGACCCTGAACAAACGGTTTGTGGCTCTTCCTGTTCCTGTAGCGAGCAGACGCCATTGGGCTACACTAGCACACGACAGGAGCAAATAGACGTTACTGGCGCCTGCTCGAGCAAATCGATGAGTAATGGGATATCAAGTGATCAACTGATAATGATAATTTCCCAGTTTTGATAATTATATAGGGGGTATCCTTGGCTAAAGGATGTGGACATCAGAAGTTTAAGGATAAGGGATACCATGACTGAAATTTATTTATTTTTATTAATTTGTAGTGCCAGGGATTGGGTCTAGGGCTTCCTACATGAAAAACATGTGCTTTACCACTGAGCTCTATTGTGCCCTGTACAATATTCCTCCATGTTTTTTTTGGGGAGGGGGGGAAGTTTGAGGCTATTTGGGGATTCTTTGTGTGGAATTTGTAATATTTTTGTAACTTGAATTTATTTTAAAAATCAAGAGAATGCCGATCTGTCTCCCCACGGACTTCATGTCACAGATAGCCCATTTGTTTATACGTTCTCTGTATGGCTGTTTTTGTGCAACATGGCCCAGTGGAGTGAATGTCATGAGACAGGATGGCTGCAAAGGCTTAAAAATAAACATTTAGGACCTGACTTAGCACATGATTTGCAGGCAAGGGCCGGAGTTTGCTCCCCAGCCCACATGAGCCCCTGGACCACCATCTGGTGTGACAACCCTCCCCCCCAGTGTGGGATGACCTTTAGCACAGGTAGGTGTGGCCCCTTAAACCTAATTAAATGAATAAATAAACACTTTCTTATTATTTGACCCTCTACAAATAAGTGTTCTGATCCTGGTTTTCTCGCGTAGTGACTTTTCTCTCCAGTTCATACTACTCGTGAGTGAGTTCCTTCGAGCTCGTGCTATCTTTTCTTGTGCGTCCTCTCTGAGGAAGCGAGGAAAATCAACCAGTAGATGAGGAGAACCTAAAACGGCACGAACAGAGTCACACAGAATAACGCCAGCACACTGGAAGTGGCAGGAGGACTTCATCCTCCTGTTTATAGAGACCGTAGAAGCCTTTTCCCCATAAGTACGTGGCTTGTAAAAATAAGTGGTTTTCATTTAGCAGTCAGCAGGGAGGCAATTTCCTTTATGCTGTTGGTCCTCACTTTCCCAAGGACATATAATATGAATAATATAATTTTTGGGGGGTATACTTGGAAATGCTCAGGGCTTACCCCAGCTCTGTACTTAGGAATCACTCCTGGCGGCCTCAGTGGACCATCTGGGGGATTGTACTGGGTCAGCCACCATGCGAGGCAAGTGCCCTAACGGTACTGTCTCCAGCCCAAGTAATGTGTTTCTATTGTTAAATTCACATATCTGTGTATGGACACACAAAAGCATACATGGACATTTCAGCACACATTGTGTGCAGTCCTTTAAAATCGTAGTTTAAGTTAAGTCAGTTGCAGGTGAATTATCATTTAGCTCCTAATTACTTGGAGATTAAGTTCTGCAGTAGAAATTTACCAAGTGGAAACTTACTGCCGCCATCTCTCTTGGACAGAGAAAGGATCTTCTAAACAGATTGCAGTTTGAGAGGGCTTTCAGGGGGAAGTGTGACCGTGTTTGTAGGACTGGAGCGCATTAGTGCTGAGGCTGTCCTGGCTGGTGGGCATTGGGGCAGAAATGGGTGCCCAGAAGGTTTGTGCTCCCAGGACGCCTGCTCAGACCGTAGGTTGAAATCATTCATTTTTGCTATTTTTTTGTTTTTGGGGTCACACCTAGTGATGCTCAGGGGTCACTCCTGGCTCTACACTCAGGGATTACTTCACTGGGTTGTCGGGGATTGAACCTCGGTCAGCTGTGTGCAAGACAAGTGCTATCCCCAATGTACTATCGCTCCAGCCCCTAACCTTTTATTTCCAAAGCTACAAAACTCAGTTTTGTGAATTTTACATGAGACCTGCAACTCTGTTCCCTGGCGTTAAGCATGTTTCCAGTTCTCGATTAGAGTGAAGTTTTGCCCATGTGAGAAAAAGTTAGAAATAGCGAATTAACCTGCCAGGAGTATCTTCTTTCTTTCTTTCTTTCTTTCTTTCTTTCTTTCTTTCTTTCTTTCTTTCTTTCTCTCTTTCTCTTTCTTTCTTTTGCTTTTTGGGTCACACCTGGCAATGCACAGGGTGTACTCCTGGCTCTGCACTCAGGAGTTACTCCTGGTGGTGCTCAGGGGACCATATGGGATGCCAGGGATCGAACCCAGGTGGGCTGCATGCAAGGCAAACGCCCTACCCACTGTGCTATCGCTCCAGCCCTGCCAGGGGCATTTTCTATGTCGGCTAAGCTGCCGTTTTCTTTCTCTGCACACAGGCTTCATTTCAGCGCTCCAACAGCCACGACAAAGTGCGGAGAATCGTAGCAGAGGAGGGGCGCACCGCACGGAACCTCATCGCTTGGAGCGTGCCTCTGGAAAGCAAAGAGGATGAAGGTGCGTGTGACACTCAGTTTGGGTCCAGTTAGAGCTCCTGCTTTGAGGGGGCAGGTCTGGGCTCAGCCCCACAGCGGGCATGACATTCCAGGCACTGCTGGGGAGCAGCCCCTGCCCTCCCCCCGAACTCTGCCAGGTGTGTTCCCCTCTCCCAACAAAAGCAAAACCAAAATTAATTTCAGTTTTGTAAATTAGAGGATTTCTTTAATTCTAGATAGAAAACGGATGAAGAACTGTTTAATAACTTGGGAAAATTAGTGTATATTAAATGAGAAATAATGAAAAGATATTTTATCGATTTGGGAGCCAGAGAGATAGTACAGTAGGTCAAGCACTTGCTTTGCAGGTGGCTGACCCAGGTTTGAAACCTGGCATCTCATATGGTTCCCCAAGCACTGCCAGGAGGGATTCCTGAGTGCAGAGCCAGGAGTAACCTCTGAGCATCACATTGCGTGTGATCCAAAAACCAAAAAAAAAATATTTCATTAATTTTAATCATCTGAAAATCCAAATAGGTCATCTCACAGAGCTTAAGAGATTAAATGCAGTTAGCTCTTATCGTTGCTAAATAAATGCATCCATCATTATTGTCACCAGCATCCTTGTCACAATAAGGACCTTCAGTTTATTTGCTTGCTAAACTCAATATTTTGGGTCACTTTAACCATTTCTTACATGACTTTTCTTATTTGTAGTAGGCACAGTTGCTTTATTTTTTAATTTTAATTTTTTTAAATTAAGACTTTGTGATTAACAAAGCTATTATTCATAGTTGAGTTCTCTGTGTACCATATTCCAGCACCAGTTCTGCCACGAGTGTCCTCTTCCCTCCACCACGAATGACAAATCATTTTTACTACGTTTTTTCTTTTTATTTTTGGGCGACACCTAATGGTATTGGGGTGTAGATGGTGGGGTTATTCCCTGTAGTGCTGGGGACCCTTGGGGCCAGGGAAGATATATTCTAACCCTTTGAGCCATCTCCCTTGTCCTTTTATTGCTTGAAAGAATTGGTTTTGTGAGAACATTGTTTCTCTGTTTCAGATAGGAATAAAATTAGCTCTGTTATATTGTGGCAGGCAGGTTTTTGGGGGTAAGTTTTAGATAGAGATTTTTTTTCCCCTTACATTCTTAAGAAAGCAATAAAGTTTGGTTTTGAAGAATTTACATGGATTTACCATGGCAAGGTACAATTTAGTTTAATGGTTTGGAAAATAAAAAGTAGGGGCCAGGGAGATAGTATAGCAAATAAGGCAAGGAAGGCACTTGGCCTGCACGTGGCAACCCAGATTTGTTCCCCAGCATCTCATGTGGTCCCTGAGCCTGGTAGGAGCCAGGACTAGGCCCTGAACATACCAGGAATGTCCCCCAAAACAAAAATCAAACAAATAAGAAAGTAAGCAAGTCAGTGTATTTTTGTAGGTATTACTGCCTGCTCAGAAAGCAAAGTCTTTCTCCTCTATCCCTTCGCTTTAATGATTAGCACCCATGTGAGCTCAGCCTAGCTCCCAGGGCTCCAGGGGATTGGATGGGGAAGAGGAATAGGCTGTTCCAGTGTGCCAGAGACCTACTTGGCCTTCCGGAGTCCACCTTCCTCTGGCTTTGTCTGATATCTCTTCCTGGCTGCATTTAGGTATTTTGGAGAAATTGGCTGTTTTCCTCTTCAGTGCGACATAGTTGGCAAATGACGTAGATTTGTCTTATTACTAGTGACGTCAACTTTCACTGCTTGGCTAAATAATTGATTTCTCTCCCCCCCTTTTGTAATTAATACCTAATTTTCTGATAAGATAATTGAAAACTCTGGGCATATCCTGATTCTCTTCAAATGGTCCATCCACTACTTTTAGCTTCTGTTGATAATTCTTTGCTTTCTAAGCTAATATTCTGGTTGATGCAAAATGGTGACTTGCTATCCATCTCGCTTTTTCTACGTTTGTTAGTTGACGTTCTAATGTTCATAAGAGACTCCCCCTTTTGGTGGCTATACGTATTCATTTAGATTTATTTAAGCTAGTTATTTACTAGCTTACATTTAAATTGGTCCTGGTTTCTCACTAAATGGATTATTATTCATTATTTTTTTGATCCCTACATTGTTCTAGATTTTTCCAGAAGTCAACCGATTAACCTGTTTCTTTTTTTTTCAGTATTAATTTTTTTTAATTTATTTTTTTTTTAATAGTGAGACATCATGAGGAACAGTTGCAGACTTACACATTTTTGTGCTTGGGTTTCAATTACACAACGATCAAACACCCATCCCTCCACCAGTGCGCATTTCCCACCACCACAGATCCCAGTATCCCTCCCACCCCCAGCCCCCATCCCACCCTGCCTCTGTGGCAGGGCATTTCCCTCTCTCTCCTTTTGAGTGTTGTGGATTGCAAAAGAGGCATTGAGTGGCAATCATGTTTGGTCGATAGTCCACCCCCAGCATGCTTCTCCCATCCTGGGAGGATCCTCCCAGCACCCTTTATTTGGTGTTCCCTTCTCTTTCTGAGCTCCCTTTCCCCCTAACATGTGTGGTTGGCCTCCAGGTCATTGAGTAAAATTCCTGGTACTAATCTCTGCCATTCTTGGGTGTTAGTTTCCTATTTTGTTACTTTATGTTCCCCAAATGAATGCAATCTTTCTATGCCTATCCCTTTCTTTCTGAGTCATTTCGCTTAACATGGTACTTTCCATGTTGTACCACTTGTATGTAAATTTCATGACTTTGTCTTTTCTAACAGCTACATAGTACTCCATTGTGTAAATGTACCAGAGTTTCTTTAACCAGTCATCTGTTCTCGGGCACTCAGGTTTTTTCCAGATTCTGGCTATTGTAAAGAGTGCTGCAATAAACAGACAATTGCAGATGTCACTTCGGCTATACTTTTTTGCCTCTCTGGGATATATTCCCAGGAGTGGTATTGCTGGGTCAAATGGGAGCTCAATTTCTAGTTTTTTGAGAATCATCCATACTGTTTTCCAAAAGGGCTGAACCAGTCGGCATTCCCACCAACAGTGAAGGAGTGTCCCTTTCTCGCCACATCCGCACCAGCACCGGTTGCTTTTGTTCTTGTGGATATGGGCCAGTCTCTGTGGTGTGAAGTGATACCTCATTGTGGTTTTGATCTGCATCTCCCTGATGATTAATGATGTGGAACATTTTCTCATGTATCTTTTAGCCATTCAGATTTCTTCTTTGTCAAAGTTTCTATTCATTTCATCTCCCCATTTTTTGATGGGGTGGAATGTTTTCTTTTTGTGGAGTTGAACCAGTATTTTGTATATTCTTGAAATTAACTCCTTATCAGATGTGTAGTTGGCGAATATCCTTTCCCATTCTGTAGACTGTCTTTGTATTTTGGTCACTGTTTCTTTTGAGGTGCAGAAGCTTCTTAGTTTAAGATAGTCCCATTTGTCTATCTCTGTTTTCACTTGCTTGGCCAGCGGTGTGACATCTTTGAAAACACTATTAGCTTCTGTGTCATGAAGGGTTTTGCCAACATTTTCCTCAATGTATCTTATAGATTCCGGTCTGATGTTGAGGTTGTTAGCCTGTTTTTTGCTAGGCTCTTTTTCCTTTTTTCAGTGGAGATCCACCTTGCAGTGCTTGGTCCCCATGAGGGCCTGGTGGCACTCAAGACTACCCCCAACAATGATGGGGGAGGGAGTACATGTGTACCGGGGTCCAGCTTAATGCCTTGCATGTTCTAGGCACATGCTCTGCCCTTTGAGTTCTCTCCTGGGTCTAGTCTGTTATTATTTTATTTTTGAGAATACTCTTAGCTAACTACCAAGACACATTATTTTCTCAGAAGGTTACATATCAGATTCATATTTTCTGCTTTGTACATTGAGAGTCCAGAACCATTTGTAGTTGACCTGGGCTGTAACTGAGAGACATGCTTCTAATTTTACTTTTTTCCATATGGAAATCAAGTTCCTCATTGCAGAACTCACCCAACATCACTTACTTTTCTCCAGTGATTTGCAGTGTGACTTTTGATGTAGATTCAATGTCCACATTTCCTCATATTCTATTCCAGTAGTCTATTTATCTAACTCATTTGACTGCCACTTTTTTTTCATCATAAAAGCATTTTAATATTTAAAACTATGGGCTTGGAATCTTCTCCAGGGCTTCTGGGTATTTTTTTAGAGAGCAGTTATTTTGAGTCACACAAACTACTAGAGGCAGATTATTAGAAGGGGAAATTATATTTATTTTTGTTTAGGACATAATTGACATACAAATGAATGTTTTTAAAATTTAGTTTATTTAGTAGCTAAATTTTTCATAAGGAGCGTTCTGTTTATTTCTTTGAGAAGGAACATTCATGTTCTTTCCCCTCAATTTTCTTCTGTTCTTTCAATTGTTTCTTCTGGTACTTGTTTGAAGCTGGTCATTTCACTTGTTGTTCTAAGAAACCTACTCTTGGCATTTTTCCTCATCATGCCAGGCTGAGTAAAGGATGGTTTAGGTGAGTGTTGCATTCCCTGCCTCCCCTTCTGAAGCAGGAAGGAGCCCCCACCCCACCCCCCACCCTCGGAGGGATATCCTCAGTGTCTGTGTATAGTTATGTGATTTCCATTTTTACTTCTTTTGTGACCTTCATGGTTACTTCTCAGAGAGAAAAGTTATTCTGTTGCACGTTATAGAATATTCTTGATTTGGATTGTTCTCAAGAAGCTTGCCTATAAAATGATAGTTGATGTTTTTCCTATTTAAAAACAGTGAGAAAGAGGTGGTTAGTCAAGATCCACTCTGCAGTGCTTGGGCCCTATTTTTTTAGTCTTTCTAAGATATGAAAGACCCCAAGAAAACCACTCTTTCCTTTTCTTGTTTGTTGTTGATTTTGGTTTTTAGGCCACATCCATTGATGATCAGAGCTTACTCCTGGCTCTGTTCTTAGGCCTCACTCCTGGTGGGCTTGGGGGACTGTATGGGGTGCTGGGGATCAAACCTGGCCTGACCATGCGCAAGGCAAGTGCCTTACTCACCGTACTATTACTCTGGCCTCAAAACTTCCATTTCAAACTAAAGGAAAAACCAACCAACCAGTCAACCAGCCAAAACATCGTGTTCCATAAACCTATTTAAAACAAAAATACTGAGGTTCTGTATGACTAAACAGTTGTTTCACTGTAGAAAATTTGAGTTTCCAGACTTGTATTTAAGAAGGCAGATGTCACCGACTTGATCTTTCTTTCTTTCTTTTTTTTTTTTTTGAAAGAATAGCTTTCCACGCCTGGCAGTGCTCAGAGTTTACTCCGGGCTCTGTGCTCAGGCATCAGTCCTGTGGAGCTTGGAGGAACCATATGGGGTGCCAGAGATTGAACCCGGCTTGGCTGTGTGCAAAACAAGTGCTTTACGTGCTGTATTATTGCTCTGGATTCTTGATCTTTCTTTTAAATTGTCAGAACATCTGACTTTTAGAGAGCTGAATAATTCCTGTTATAAGAGAGTTATTCAATAAAAGCAATCTCCGGGACCTTGGTAATAGATTTGTTTATTTATTTTTTTATTTTTTTATTGCATCTGTAGCTCATGTGGACCATGTATGGATTATACTGATTATAGTCCTCATCAAGAGATTAAATGCCTGAATAATTTATGCAGATCGATTTTCTTTGTTGATCTATATATTTATCTATTTGTTCTTGCCTTTTAAGGAAAATCGAAATGTCAAGCTGGTGGAAAATCAAAGAGGACACTTCAGGGTACTCATAAAACTACTAAGCAGGTACAACTTTTGACTTTTAGCATTTTTCCCTATGCGACATATCCAGTGGTGCTGGGGTGTGTGTGTGTGTGTGTGTGTGTGTGTGTGTGTGTGTGCGCGCGCGCGCGCGCAGTGCTGGCAGTCTAATGCAGACCTCACACATGCTAGACATGTGCTCTCTCTTGAGCAGTAACCCTGGCCCCTATTGACTTCTTTTGGGGGGGTTGGGAGAAGCTCTCCAAATGTGCCCAGAAGCCTGAGGGCTACCTTTATATTTTTAGGGGGCTATCATACCTGGTGGTGCTCAGGGCTTACTCTTGGCTCTGTCCTCAGGGGTCACTCCTGCTGGTACTTGGGGACCATACGGGGTGCTGGAGATCGAATAAGCACCTTAAACTCTACACTGTCTCAAGCCCCAAGGGCCACTTCTAATGATAATTACCAATATGCAGCTGGGCCTGAAGATTCCATATTCCATGCCATATGGAATCACAGTGGTGCTGATGAAGCATTCTTCCACATGTCCCCTGGGAAATTTGCCTGCTGAACCTGAAGTTTGGCAGAAGGGTGCCGATGGGGCCGCTAAATCTACTCTTGGGTGCTAGCTGTGATGAGGGCCACCGGGACGCACCTGGGCAGTACCGAGGAGCGACCAGGCCTCACCAGGGCAGAGCTGAGGAGCCACGGGGCTCCATGTGGCAGGATTACTGGAGACTGAACTTGGGGCTTATGCACACAAAACGTGTGTTTGATCCCTTTGAACTGTGTTTCTGGCTCTGTTTTACAGAATTTTAATTAGAATTGTAAAATGTAAATTTTCCATGTTTTGAAAACTGTTTATTATAATCTTAAACATTTCTTTCCTCTTTTTCTCTTTTTTCAGTGCTGGGGTCACCTCTCCCTTGCTAGGGGCACCCCTCTCTCCTCTCCTTTCTCCTTCCCTTTTCTTTCTTTCTCTCTTCTTTTATCTTCCTTCCTTATGACATTTTAAAACTTTACAGATATATGTAAAGTACATAAATATATAAAATAGTAAGTACCTAGTTGTACTCACCCAAGTGCTCAGATCACTTCACAGGTATAAATTTATTTGCTTTTCATAACAGCCTTTTGATGCATATTATACATACATTTACAAATTAGGAATCAGAGGTAGAGGTTTTTTTTCATCTTGCCACTAAGTCATACAGATAAGATTTCAACCCAAACCACCAATTCTGTGAGTTAATTATGCGTGTTAATTAGGCTCTTTGGCAGTGCTTGGGAGACTCCGGGCCCTTCCCTGTCGTTCTCAGTTGCCTGAGCCTAATGCCAGGACCTGAGGATGAGGTGCTGCTCGGAACCTGCAGTGCTGGGGTTATCCTGGCCACCTGGTGTTGCTCAGGGGGCTTGCAGGGGGCACCCTGTGATACTCAGGTGATCAGGGCTGACCACAAGGCAGATGCTTCCGCCCCTTTCCTGTCCTTCCAGCCCCACTTGTTTGAATTCATTGATGATCATCTTTGTTGGTATAATGAAGTGTTCAGGTGTAGGATGGTAAAGGTATGTTGACTCTAAAATATTTTCAAATTGCTCTACTACTAAAAATTTTTTTTCCAGCTTCCAAAGCAGTGCCCAGGAGGCCTAGGAGCTGCTTCCATGGTGATTTGCCTCCAGACCTGTGGTCGGGGCCTGGGGCAGAGAGCGTGGGGGGTTACCCCGGCTGACCCACCCTGGTTGGGAGCCTCCTGGACCAGCACCTGGGTCAGCTACATGCAAGACATGAGTTTTAATCCCTGTGCTATTTTTCTGACCCCCTATTAAAACTTCAAAATACACAAGTGCACTGTATTAATTTTTTTACAGCTATTATTGTATTAGCTTTTTAATCCATTTTCTGATTTTCCATGAACTTTTCATATATATTATTTTAGATCGTGTTATCACATATTCCAGTTTATAGAATGTAACTATAAAACTTAATTTCAGGTGAAAAAAAATGTCAAGCTGCTTTTGTGAGTTCATAAACAACCCCTCATGCACATCAGTGATAAAATACTTTAAAAAAAAGCTTCTAAAAATAAGTGAAATACTTCCGAGGATCAGACATTAAATACACACTGCCAGCTGAGTGCATTGAGCACACAGACTTAATGGATAGGGGAGACTGAAGTGCTCTGAGTGTAGTGAGGAGATGGACAAGCTTATGGCATAAAACCTTGGATTCATGCAAGGTTCTATTTTAGGAGGAGAAAAAGCTACTGTCTGCTTGAGGCTGTGGCCTGTCACAGCTGGAGGGAGTCGATCTCTGGCTGAGGACTGAATGGACTTCTTTTATTTTTCCTTCTCTTTGGGTCACACCTGGTAGTGCTCAGGGCTTACTCCTGGCTCTGTGCTCAGGGATCACTCCTTCCTGGGCTCCGGGGACCACATGGGGTGCTGGGGATCAAGCTGCAGTGGACTGTGTGCATGTATCTTACCTGCTATACTGTTGCTCTGGCCCATTGCATGTACTTTACTGTCAAGCCATCGCCCTCCCCTGAACCTGCCGTATTCTTGAAGGGTAAGAGCTGTAAGAAGCCAGTAAAATGCCAAGTCCTTTTGTTCTTTTGGGCTGCAGTGATAGCACAGTGGGTAGGGCGTTTGCCTTGCACGAAGCCGACCCGGGTTTGATCCCTCCGCCCCTCTCAGAGAGCCCGGCAAGCTACCGAGAGTACCCTGCCTGCATAGCAGAGCCTGGCAAGCTACCTGTGACGTATTCGATTTGCCAAAAACAGTAACAACGTGTCTCACAATGGAGACGTTACTGGTCCCTGCTCGATGGGAGGACAGTGCTACTTTTTTTTTAAATTTATTTTTATTAGTGAGACATCATGAGGTACAGTTGTAGACTTACAAATTTTTGTGCTTGGGTTTGTTTATTTTTGAGCCACACCCAGCAGTGCTCAGGGCTTAATACTGGCTCCACATATCAGGAATCACTCATGGTGGTGCTCAGGGGACCATATGGCGTGTGGAGATAGAACCCAGGTCAGCTGAATACAAGACAAACGCCCTAGCCACTGAGCTATCTCTTTGGTCCCAAAGGGCCGGGTGATTTGAGTCATGTACAAATGAATGCATGCCACAGCAAATGCACAGATGGGCGAAGATGAGTATTTATGAGAATTCTGTATGATTAACTTAAGTTAAGTTGTATGATTAATCAGAGCACAGAGCCAAAAGTAAGCCCTGAGTACCACCTGGTGTGGTGTGGACCTCTTTCCCCATGACTCCACCCACCTCCGCACCCACAAAAATTGCAGGCTTTAAATGAAAATCCATTTCCCAGAAGCTTTTTACTTACATTTTTTTCATGTTTTATTTGCCCAGAATGCTGGAGTCGACTGTAAAATACCTCCATCTACAACTGGAGAGAAGCACTTTGATAAAAGCCCCATTAAAACAAGGCACCCTCGGAAGATTGACCTGAGAGCCCGGTACTGGGCGTTTCTGTTTGATAATCTTCGCCGAGCCGTGGATGAGATCTACGTGACTTGTGAATCAGATCAGAGTGTGGTGGAATGTAAGGTGAGACTTGCCTGGTGGATTTGCGATGCTCTCAGGCCGGAGATTTGTCTGAGGGCAGAGCGCAAGCCTAGCAGACGTGAAGCCCCGAGTTCCAGCCCTGCCGCCACACAGCAGAAAAGACCAGAAAGGTCGAATAATGTAACCCATAAAATTATGCGATCCATTTGAAGCCCATGTTAGTGGCACCTGTGCGACTTGATCACGTTCCTCACTTTTTCTGGGGTTAGTGACTGGTAAGCTTTTCATTTCATTCCCTTGGCAATGAAATGAACAATTGTTCTTTTGATCTGTGCACTGAAATCAGCCATATGGCTCGGACTTGTTTTTCCACCCCCAGCTTTATGGAGATTTAATTGACAAAAATTAAGGTCTGTAACTGTTAGGATTTGTTATATGTTTACATTGTGAAATGTTTACTACCATTCACATGCTGGTTATGCTATCATTCACAAAGTTAACTTTTTTGGGGGGATGTGAGAATACTCAAGGCACTTCTTGGTTCACAAATTTCAAGTGTTTAATACTATCATATGCACTAGGCTGTCCAGTGGTGGGCTTCAGAGACTCAGAGCATACTGTCTGTGACTATAAGTTTGTCTTCCATCAGCAACTCCTGTTTTGCTTGTGTGTGTGTGTGTGTGTGTGTGTGTGTGTAGGAGGGCTGTTCGCTTTTGGGCTACACCTCGCAGTGCTCAGGACTTACTATTGTTCTGGGCTCGGGGATCACTCCTGATGGGTCTCAGGGAGCCACACGGGATGCTGGGGATCGAACCCCAGATAGCTTTGTGCAAGGCACATGCCCAGTCCCTCTGCCTAGTACCTCCTTGTTTCCCTGGCCCAGACCCCACACTTTCCTCAGCTTCTGCGAGTGCCGGGGTGCCATGGTCACGGTTTCCAAGAGTATTCTTGCTGTTGTTTCTTTGGCGATTGTCGTTGCTTGTATACCTGATGATGTGCCTTCTTGTTCTGTGCAAGAGTTGGTAGACGGCTGTATTGGTATGTAGTCCTGGGCCAGAAACCCTAGGTTGGCTTGATGCTCTCACACGCCCTCCCTCACTCTCCTCTCTCTCCTGTAGGTGGCACCCGTGAGATTCTTACATTCTTGGGTTTCCTGTTTAATGTCTTTAATCCCTGAGATACTGATCACTCGGGTCTGGGAGAAGTGAGATTGATGGCTAACCATAACAGCCCTGGGTGGGATGGGGATGTCATTGCAAGGTGTGTTTTCTGATTTCAGATAGCCTCGTGTTTGTCATAGGATATGAAACAGACTCATAATACAGTCTGTCTTTAAACTAACTACAAAGCCTGGCCTTTTAAGCACAGGCAAAACTAGATTACTTCATAGCGAATAAAATTATTTGGATAAAGACCAGAGTGATCGCTCTCCTAGAAACTTACACAGGTTCTGTTTCTCTAGTGAGCACGGTTAAAATCCTGGATTTGTTTTTTAGCTTTTGAAGTGTGTGGTATCACCAGTCCCCACCCCAGTTAGGGTGCTTGGTGGCTTCCAGGTCTGCACCCAGCAGTGCTTGGGGGTCATGTAGTGCTGGGGTTTAAGCCTGCGCCGGGTGCAGCAGGGTCTGCACCCTAATTACTATACTTTGTCCTACCCCCTACAAATAAATTTCAAACTCTCAGATTTTTAAAAAAATTTTCCTACCCCCTGAAAATAAATTTCAAACTCTCAGATTTTTAAAAATTTTTTCTCTCCGTATGAACTTTTGAGCATCTTGAACTTTTGAGCAACTTTTGAGTACAAAGAACATAGAATACATCTCTACTCTAACTTTATCAAATTTTTCTTCATTTTTGTTATCTACAACGTGCATAACCAATTCTGGCTGCTTTTCACCCTTCACAAAGCTCTGGGTGGAGGAATGACGGACCACACTGCCTTCCAGCCAAGTCCAGCTTTCTTGATTCCAGACTCAGAGCCAGGCATTCTTTTTTTTTTTTTTTGTTTTGCTTGTGGTGCCCAAGGCTTACTTCGGCTCTGTGCTCAAGGAGCATTCCTGACGAGCACTTGGGAGACCATCTGGGGTGCCATGGGTTGAACACGCGGCTGTGTGCAGGTCAAGTGCCCTACCCACTATACTATTGCTCTGTCCCCAAGGAACCAGACTTTTTTTTTTTACAGTGCTGTCTTTTTTTTCTTTTTTTTCAAATTTTTATTAGTGAGACACCATGAGGTACAGTTGTAGACTTACATATTTTGTGCTTGGGTTTCAATTATACAATGATCAAATACTCATCCCTCCACCAGAGCCCATTTCCTACCACCACGGATCCCAGTATCCCTCCCACCCCCCATCCCCCCCATCCCACCCTGCCTCTGTGGCAGGGCATTCCCTCTGTTCTCTCTCTCCTTTTGGGTGTTGTGGTTTGCAAGAGAGGCATTGAGTGGCAATCATGTTTGGTCTATAGTCTACTTTCAGCATGCTTCTCCCATCCTGGGAGGATCCTCCCAACACCCTTTATTTGGTGCTCCCTTCTCTATCTGAGCTACCTTTTGCCCTAGCGTGTGTGGCTGGCCTCCAAGCCATGGAGCAAAATTCCTGGTACTAATCTCAGCCATTCTTGGGTGTTAGTCTCCTATTTTGTTACTTTATGGAACCAGACATTCTGATCACAGTTAGCCCGACACATCTCTGTAAAAACACCTTTTTTTAAAAAAAATAATAATAATTTTTATTAGTGAAACACCATGAGGTACAGTGGTAGACTTGGGTTTCAGTTATACAAGATCGAGTACCCATCCCTCCACCAGTGCCCATTCTCCACTACCAATAATCCCAGTAACCCTCCCACCCCCACCCCACCCCCCCCACCCTGCCCTGCCTCTGTGGCAGGGCATTCCCTTTTGCTCTCTCTTTCCTTTAGGGTGTTGTGGTTTGTAATAGAGGTATTGAGTGGCCATTGTGTTTGGTCCATAGTCTACTCTCAGCATGCATCTCCTATCCTGAGAGAATCCTCCAAACACCCTTTATTTGGTGTTCCCTTCTCTAATCTGAGCTGTCTTTTCTCCCAGCACGTGCTACCAGCTTTCAGCTGAAAAACACCTGTCTTAAATGTCATTTCTTCATCCAATCTTTTGTTATTTGTAATCACAAAATCAGAGGATTTGCCAATCTGACTGATCTGTTGAGTAAACAGATATCCAGGCCCACATGATTTTTTATGGAGGAAATTATATAGAAAATGAAGTCCAATGGTGTTTCCTACCACCAAGTGTTAACTCACTGAAGTATCAGGATGGGATTTTGATTAAAAAAAAAAGATTTTTCTTTAAACATCAGAAGCTTTTCATGCTGACAGTGATAATGCTCATTGTGATAATCAAACCATAAAAATCTGATTCCTCCAGTTACTATTAATCACTGTAAGATAAACATTAATCACTGTGAGGTAAACAGTCACAAAGTTGTTCATGATCGGGTTTCAGTCATACAGTGTTCCAACACCAGCCCCTTCACCAGTGTCCATTTCCCACCACCAATGTCCGCCTGCCTCTATGGCTGGAACCTGTTTTTCTCTTTCTCTTTCTCGCTCCTCCTTTTGGCTGTTGCAGCTGCGAAGGAAGCCCAGCTGTTGCCCTAGTGGGAGAACAGCTGACATCTGGGGCTGTCTGAGCCCTGCTGTCCACTTCCACAGTTAGGCATGGTGAAACTTATGTCTGACCGAGAGCCTCCCTCCTTTCTCTGATCACAGATCCTCCAGAGTTTCCTTTCGCTCTGAACATCAACCTCCTCATCCTGATCCAAGTACGTCTCATATCGTTTTTCTCTTCTCCATCCACTCCATTTGGGCTCCTTTGAGTGACTCCAGCATGCCGTGTGCTTGCAGACCGTTCCCTGTTCAAGTTTTTCTGCCCTTATTTTTTCCAGCTCCTTCCTCTTTGCCTAGCAATTCCTCCATCCTTTGTACGAAACTCGTGTTCAAAATCGAGCTCTCTCTTGAACACATTGATACCCTGTGTACCAGTGGTGGGTCACACTTGGATGTGGTTTAACTAACACCAATTACAGTACCAGCTATCAGCATGTCAAGTGTTCTGGGAGGCCTCTCCATATTTCAAACGAGTTTATCATTTAATTTACACTCAGAACCTGCATTTCTTTTTAGAAATACATTTGAAATGTTTGTAAATCGAAACTGTGTGTCTATTTAGTAAAGGTAAAGGTAAAGGTAAAGGCCCTCCCATTGATCATCGATTTGCTCGAGCGGGCCCAGTAACGTCTCCATTGGAGACTTTGTTGTTACTGTGTTTGGCATATAGAATACATCATGGGTAGCTTGCCAGGCTCTGCTGTGCGGGCGAGATACTCTCGGTAGTGGTTTTTATTTTTATGTGACACTAAACTCCACGAGGACAGAAACCACAGTCTCACTTATTCCTTCATCACCAGTTCTTGCTACCTGACCCTGACTCTGGGCTCAGGGATCACTCATGGTGTGTGTTGGGGGTCCATATGGGGTAGTGGGGATTGAACCCTGGTCTACCACGTGCAAGGCAAGCACCTTACCCATGGTACTGATCTCTCCAGCCCCCTGATTGGTTGCCTGTCTGTCCGTTTGTTTTTTGATGTTAAACACCTTTGTATTCCAGGAATGATTGTGCCTGGTCTTTCTCTATAGTCCTTTGTAATAACCACAGATTTTCATTTATTAGCAAAGCCTGGCAAGCTACCTGTGACGTATTCAGTATGCCAAAAAACAATAACAAGTCTCACAATTTGTTGTGAGATGTTACTGGTGCCCTCTCGAGCAAATCGATGAACAACGGGAGGACAGTGACAGTGACAGCATTTGGTTGTGGATTTGTGCACATTGTTGAGGGATGTAAAAAGTCTCTTGTTTGCTATCCTTAATGGTATTTTTGAAAAGTTCATGCATAAATTGGTATTATTTCTTTATATGTTTGGTAGAATTTCCCAACAAAGGCATCAGATTCAGAGTTTTTCTTCATTAGGAGATTTCATTTTGGTCATCCAGTTTGC